TTATTGTCATATTATACAGAGGAAATATAGAGAAATTATTTTCTCGAGATACAGGGATGGGGAAGGGGTTTGACTGTGTGTATGTGTATGTGTGTGAGTATGTAGGTGTGTATATGTATGTGTGCATATATGTATATCAGTGTATGTATGTGTATATATGTCAATCAACAGATAAAGCCGATTAATAATACTAATAATATCAATAATAATGCATAAAAATGATAATTATTGCAGATTATAAATTATAAATAAATCATTTAGGGACAAGGGGGTGGGATTAAATAAATTATACTTCTTCTCACTCCTTTTCGAACATTAGATGTGGCACTGTTTATGTTGATAATGCTGTTGTTGTAAATGTCATTTTTTGTTTTGTCATTTCTATGTTTTGATTTGTTTTACATGACTATGCACTGCAACATTTGTTTTGTTTTTGTAATTTTACTTGTTCGAAATAAAATCAATCCATCAATCAATCAATCTATTCTTCTCATTTCCAGGTTCATATTTGTATTAAGTGTTTCTACTTTAACGCTCAGAAAGCTCTTTATTTTTCTCACACTGCTTGTGCTGCAGTGTGTGGGAGGGACACTTTGGGATTGTAGCCTTTGCAGACCATTTACATGCACAACAACCTATTTGACACACTACAGGAAAGGGGAAAGCATGATGGGGTCTCTATCAGTGCAGCAGGAGTGCTAAAGTATTTTTCGTGACTTGCATTACCCGAACAAAGAGTAAAAGTGATTTAAAGCCCACACACAAACAACAGATCATTCAATGTCCTCGTCTCCAGATGGCACGATTCAGTAAAACAATAGCATCTCTATTGAACATACAGCAAAACAATTTACTCACGCCAGACTCTGACCGCAGCACACACACACATTCAAAAACCCTTACTTACATGTATCATAGCTCTTTCCAAGCCTCTTACAGTTTAATCCTTTGTGCTATCACTATAATTAAGTATGCATAATGCAAATAGGCTATTGCAATTAGCCTGTATGGTCTAAATAATGCATGTACTATTGAGTGTAATGGCTCGGCTCTATCTCATAACACAGCGGCACATAATAAGAGTGCCATTAGAATATAATAACTGTAGTGCAACATAATGACGGTGGAGTGTGTGAGGTACCTGTGGCGGGGGGGAGTTCGGGTTGAGTCTCTGTTCATTTCCTCCACAGAGCCGGGGGAGGGGGGCGGGGGGAAGCCGCCGTCGTCGTAGTAGTCCTCGTCTTCGTTGCCGTAGTGACCGTAGCTGCCGTTTGTGGTCGCAGCGGGAAACGAAGCTGAGGAGGAACAAGAAACCGTTTGAACTCCAAACTTGGAATAGGTGTTTACGTGACGCTCCGAATGCCAGTGTGTGTATGGTTTCTAAATATTGTGCGTCACCCTTTTGAATGAGGTGCACACACAGGGATGTTTAAATATCGACAGTATGAAAATCAGTGTGTTGAGGATCATTCAGAGCACATCATTTCCAAACAGATGCCACCATCGCCCCACTGTAGATCATGTGTGTTGTATAACATGGCTGTAGTGCCAGTCTGATGGAGAGCTGTCTCAGTTAGAGAAGCACCCCATCACCCCAGAGGGAGGGGAAAGGGGAGATGAGATAAAGAATGAATTTAAAACAGTTTGTTAGTCTCTTTTTTTTCTTCCTTAACACGACATGCTGCACAATACTCTGAATGCAAATACGGCCCACTTAGAAGCCGCTTCATCAGCTTAATGATTCCAAGGTCAGATCTTTTGCACATAAAAAAGCGAGCGCCGCGTTCCGAGAAAAGAGGAGAAACACAGGTAATGACTTCCCTTTCTCCCGCTATGAATATGCAGCGAGGAAACTGATACAAAGAGAGCCTGGGAAAGGTGTGTTTTGTGAAAATGCAATGTCAGGAGCGTTGGCTGGGTGTCACACACACACACACACACACACACACACACACACACACACACACACACACACACACACACACACACACACACACACACACACAGTGTCAGAGCTGCATGTGTCTGGTGAGCTCTCTGTTGTGTGCGTAGTTGTGTGAGTGTGCGTCGAGGTACCTGTCTGCAGAGGTGTGTGTGTTTCTATTGTGTCTGTGTGTGGGTATCCTGCTGTGTGTGGGCGGGTCTCCGTACATCTGCCCTGCCATCGCCCTGATGTTCTCCGTGTATCTCTGAGAGCTGTCTCGCCTGTGTGGGGGGTCCGGTGTGCGGCTACGTGCTAGCCTGACCTGGTGTGTGTGCGCGTTATCCGGCCTGTCGTGGCGGTGTGTCTCTGCGAGCGCTCGGCTGTGTGCGTACCCGTAATGGTAACTTTCCCGGTTTAAGTTTGTGGGGAAGCCGCTCAGCGTCTGGCTGTGAGAAACAAACCCAAACTCGTACTGTGAGGCCGGTCTGAACTCGTCTTTGTGTGCGTACCCCCCCTCATCATCACTATCTTTTTGCGCCAGGCCAAACGTGTAAGCACTACTCCTCTCCTTCTGATTAAGACCATAGGTGTATCGGGTGTGCGTGTCCCCCGGCCTCTGTGTGTATCGCTGCCTTTGGCTGAGGGACAGCGGCTCGGACGCTCTCCTCCTCAGCGTGGGGAGGAGGGAGGAGGAGCGGCTTGGGGGGGGCGGCTGCTGCTTCTGGGGGGGGCCGTCACCTGCTCGTACCTGATTGTTGGAGTTGTACTGGGGATGGGCGGAGGAGCCATTGGAGTTTGGTGCAGGGCTGGCCGTCTGTAGAAAGCAAAATCAATTGGAGAAAACTTAAACATTATTTTTCTTTAAAACCATGAATATCCTATTAATATTAATGGACCCATTCATATATTGTTATATACATATTATATATTGTAGCACAGTGTGCACGTTTTTACTTTATGTTTATACAAATATGAATAATCTTTTATATTGCAGACATGCATATGGGGCGGATGCCTCCAGTTTGTCCAGTGGAGCATATCACATCATCACAACAGGCGACAGTAATGATCCTAATGTGGCTGATGTGTGTCATTGATTCTGCTGTCAAAACTCTGGTAGCTTCTTCTGAATATTCTTTGAAAAACATCAGGATGCGCGGAGAATTTCATAATGCATAAGCATCCTCTAATGTTTCATGTAACCAAAATCCTCCAACCAAACTCAGGGAGGCTGAACATGCAGCTCCACATCCAGCAGAGCTTCCAGAGAGAGGAACTGACAGGAGCACAGTCTGAGGACATGAGGAAATGTATAAAAACTAAACATATTTAACACAAGTATGCTACTTTAAATATTCATTTGAAGCATGTATTCATGATAACATAAGCAAGATATACTTTCATTCTCTCAGTTGATTTCTGCAAAACTGAGAAGACGCCCAATGAGGCACCACTTTACAAAATCAAGCCAACATGACATCAAAATGTAATTCTCCTCCATAAAAGATGTTTTTCCAAATGTCAAGAGTCTGATTTCCAATCATCTTGAAAAATGTAGAAAACACACCTGTAAAACATTGCCTGTGTGGGATACACCTCTCCAAAACCATGATGAGATTTCACCCGTACCTGTCTGGGTGCTCGGAGCACCACCAGCTGGATGGTGCCTCTGGCGTTTCCCTCTGACGACATCGAGTGTCTCAGCGTCTCCATGGCAGCGTGGTTGGAGCGTCCGAGCAGCGATTCGCCGTTTACCGCGATCATCTGATCGTTCACGCTCAAGCGACCGTCCTGTTGGGAGAGGTTAGCAGCATTAGCATGAGGAGGGCAGCAGAGAAACACCAGTACAACACACATGTTTGTTTCATACTTGAAACACAGTGATGTTAACGGGAGAAGAATCTCACTTTTTTCAGAATAAAAGCTCATATTTCTTTTTAATGTTATCGATTTGCACAGTAAATAAATGCAGCATTACCAGGCCTTTTAAAGATCTTATTATCTGTTCATATCACTTAAGTTAATGCCTCATAACAAATTAATTATATGAAGATGTAAGGATGGGGAAAAGAGGAAGGGCAGGGCTTAAATCTTCAGTAAAATAAGACACAAGACTGGTCACACCATTTTTAAGAGGGGATAAGAGGAGAGGTGTAAAATGAAATGTGTGTGTGAGAGAATAATAAAGAGAGAGAGAGAGAAAATGTAGTAGAAAATGGAAGAAGGGGGGAAGGCAAGGAAATTGAAGAGTTAGCAATCTACTGAGAGCGGGAGAGCCATGATAAATACATAGAGCAGCTAATGGAATAGCCTCGGTGGGCACTAAATCACTTCTAAGTGTTTTAAATAGCAGCCTCTCATGGAGAGAAACACAGAACGGTGCCCTGGAGGGAGAGAGGGAGAGGAGAGGGGAGAGAGAGAGGGTGAGTGGGGGGGTCAAATAAGGAAAGCAATGCAGAGGGCGATAATTTAAAAAAAGAACAATAACGATGAGACACTAAAGACTCTCTTTGAGTGTGTGTGCAGAGTCATGATTGCTCCATTATGGTCAACGATGACCTTTGACCCCATCTTATTAACAAGGCACCATCAGGTCTGGCCTCCATGACTGGGATGGCAGCACACACACACACACACACACACACACACACACACACACACACACACACACACACACA